TGTATATGTGTGTTTGCATATGTGTGTATATGTGTGTGTATATGTGTGTGTATATGTGTGTATATGTGTGTGTATATGTGTGTGTATATGTGTGTGTATATTTGTGTATATGTGTGTATATATGTGTGTGTATATGTGTGTGTATATGTGTGTGTGTGTATATGTGTGTGTATATGTGTGTGTGTGTGTGTGTGTGTGTTGACACCTGCATGTGCATGTATCTATTCACCCTGCCGCAGCACATTTCTCTTTCCCATCTTGCCTTATTTTATCGAACCTTACCCTACTTCACCTCACCTCACCTCACCTCACCTCACCTCACCTCACCTACCTCGCCTCGCCTCACCTCACCTCACCTCACCTCACCTCGCCAGCAGTGTGCCCTTACCCTAAGCACCTCACCTCGCCTCACCTCACCAGCAGTGTGCCCGTACCCACCCAAAGCACCTCACCTCACCTCACCTCACCAGCAGTGAGCCTTTACCCAAATCACCTCACCTCACCTCACCTCACCAGTAGTGAGCCCGTACCCACCCAAAGCATCTCACCTCACCTCACCTCACCAGCAGTGAGCCCTTACCCAAATCACCTCACCTCGCCTCACCTCACCTCACCTCACCAGCAGTGAGCCCCACCCAAATCACCTGACGTTGAACAGGTGGTCACAAGTCAGCAAACTACATGGAGTCTCTGGACAGCTGATTGTGGCAGTTCCCTGTTGAAGTTCAGGCACAGTTATGAGCGTGACATTGATGAATCAGCCCATTTACAATTAGATCTACAATTCTACTGTGCATAAGAACATGGTTAATGCCCCCCCTTGGGGATGGCCTAAAGACACTTCAGTCAGTAGCACCGCCGAGGGTGGTTTTACTATGAATATTTTCTACGCTGAACTCAAAATGATAATGAAAACCAGAAAGGAAGACTGAAGTAGCTGGAGGAAGAGATGCCACATGTTCTATGACCACCTGAGTACAACAGACCTGCTGCTGGAGTAAGAGATGCCAGATGTTCTATGACCACCTGAGTACCGGTACAACAGACCTACTGCTGGAGTAAGAGATGCCACATGTTCTATGACCACCTGAGTACAACAGACCTACTCCACACAAAGATCTCCCCGTAGTGACTCACAGAACGACACAGCCTCTCTGCTCCCATCACACACCTCAGACAACAGGAAGTGAGTCGTACAAAAGAGAAGTTCTTTTTCTCACGTTTTATTCAACAATGACAAAGTGGTACGACACACATAATTACAAGGACAATCATAGCGAGAAAAAAGTACATGGCCATCTTTGTACAATCCATTCACTCCAGACAGCACTGACGTGTTGATGACACCACTGTGCCCAGTCACCCATGAGATCAAGAAGAGAGACCTCGGCACGACCATCACAGCACACAGCAGCTACACCCAAACCCTCGGGGGTAGTTCACATATCTGTTTATGATACAGTGCCGGTGTAAAACCCCACTACCACACCAGCATTAAGATCAACAAATAGCAAAAAACAAAACAAAAATGATTGAACTAAAAGAAGTCCCTTCCTCAACCGTTCTGCCTTATTTACTTTACTCACTGACTGCCTTCATTTGGTCAAATCTGGCTTCCTTCATTGTTTGCTGAATAGTTCAGTTCTCCAACAGTGTGAACACATCAGCTGAACCCTCTGGGAGAGAACAAAACACGCCACAGACACCCTACTCGGACACGTATTCCTTATATTTGATGCTCACACTTCTTCCAATTAAGTTTTTTAAATGTCTTTTTTTTTTCAAGAGCACTACAGTATTCAAAGTAAAAAGTTTTCTAATCAAGAAGAAAGGGAAATAAGGAAGTAAACAAATCGCTACCTCAGAATTACAACGTTCTATCTGACATTTTTGGCCGTTTTGAGTTACTAAAAGACCATGAGGTCAAAAACCAAATATTCTTTCTGCTCTTTCAAAATTGTAAGAAATTTTCGGAGTCGTAATCAAGATATTGAAAGAATTACATTCCACAAAGCTAGACATATTTTGTGAAACTAAAAATGTTGATGGCAACTTTCCCCCAACTAGGCAGTGAGCAGATAGAACTGTGTCGTTCCTGGCAGGGAAATGTTCCCCTCTACACCACAAGTCCTACGTCCACAACTATTTCCAACGTAGTCAAGTATTGTTCCAAGGACCGGGCAAAGCACAACCTTTATGCAGCATAAATACCTCAGTGTGGAAGATTTCCCCATCACAACATCACATGTAGCAGGATGTCTCACAACATCACATGTAGCAGGATGTCTCACAACATCACATGTAGCAGGATGTCACACGTCTCACAACATCACATGTAGCAGGATGTCTCACAATCATCACATGTAGCAGGATGTCTCATCCTTTGTGGATTACTTAGCACAAAGAGCTCTCTCATACAGCCACTACCTTACTCATACATACCATTATGTTTGAAACATATTCATACACTCTTGTTTGTCACAGACACACAAACATACGAGGCACAAACACACAAGTTGAGCTCTACACAGCCACTCAATGTACAGTGTATCCAGGCTGGACTTTCAGTCCATTAAGGAGAAAGGAGAGAGACATGGACAGCAACTTTTCCATTTGTGCACAGAAAAGGCAACATAGCAGACTGTGGTAGACAAAGGAAGCCACTAGTGAGCCCCTTCAACCACTCACACAGACCAATGTCTGTACATACAGCTCACACACAAGCGCCTGATTCCACCGCGTACTGACACATATTATATACGAAAATATCCTTTATACATACAGATAGTGCAATCAAGTAAACATATATATACGAACATACCCTATATGCATATTACAAGCCCCTCATACAAAAAATACAACAACACACAAAGAGACAGAGAGAGTGAAGCAAACGAACTGCAGGACCCAACAAGTAGAGGGAAATTACTCATCATTGTTGTGCACTTTTCATGGAGGAAGCATTTCTACAACCCCATGACTTGAGCACACTAAGACAAAGTTAAAAATAGAACAGGTGGCATTTACTGAACAGACCACAGAGTGACGGAACCCGCAGCTTAGAAACCAAAGAGATGGGCAGATCTTGTGGTCAAGGGAGGAGACAGACGTTGAGAAATGTGTGACTGTCATGAAGATCTTGTGGTCAAGGGAGGAGACAGACGTTGACAAATGTGTGACTGCCATGAAGACAAAGGGAACCAGAGAAAAGTGTGAAGAGCTTTGGACATGACAGAAACAAATAAAGCTATCCTGGCTCGAATATCTACCAAAGATAGTCTAGACAAACTAAACTTAGTCCTTCATAGCCTGATGAACAACAAAACTTACTAACGGTGTTCTCTCTTCAAGCTATTCTCATTTCATTAACCCGTAGCTTACCATCATGTCAATTTTCTCACCCTTCTACACCAGTACAAAGAAAATGTCAGTCTGACAGTTCCTAGGACAGGATCACTCTGGCCACGTCTTGGGTCAGGCTTTCTAACCTCCGCCTTAACCCCCCCCC